AATCCCAAAACAAACCCCTTCCCAATCCTCCTTTTCCTGTCCATTCCCTAAGAAAATAGCGTTCCTCGCCACCTGGCCCTGCAGCAAGCGTGTGAGCTTGGATTCTGTTTGCCACACGCTGTGTTGAAGATGAGATTAATGACCTGCCAGGTGGTTTTCCTCCCTGAAAATCCATGGTGAGGCTCTAGAAAGCCTCCATGAGCTGTGGCAGTTGCCTCCTGCAGCAGCACGGAGCAGCTGGCACGCAGCATCCCTGGCTGGGGTGGGTGCAGGACCGCTCCTGTTCCAGGGGATGGAGGCTGTGATGCTCTGTTGTGGCTTCAGGTACATCGCTTGGTAGCTCTTCTGCATTTTGTTTGGTGAATTGGGGTTTTTAAGCTGTATTGGTGTTTTCTTTGCTTCTTAAGTCCTGGAAAAAAGCCGGGGATGGGCAACTCCCAGCTTTTGTTGTGTAGGCTTCAAAGCTGGTGCTGGGTTACCTGCTGACAGTGCTTTGTTCCTCCCTCACATTGGAGGGTTAAAATCCTGGCATGGTTAAGGGACATCATTGGCTTGGAAAGCTTTGTTTAAGCTCTGGGACATTACCCCACCTGGGTGCCTTGTCCTCCTCTGATTCTCTGGTTGGGATGGCATCAAGTTGGATTACAAACCCTCTGTCCCATGGTCCCATCCCTCATCTCCCCTCATCCTGCTACACAGAATCTGTCTACAATGCTAACCGGGGTGCCAGGTGCACTGATCTCCCTACAGCCTCGGGGAAAGAAGTGCCTGGGAATGGGAATGCACCTCCTTCCTGTTCCTCAGGGGACCGAAACCAGCACCCTGAGGGTGGTCACGCTGCGGGAGTCCAGGCAGGAATGCCAGGAACTCAGCTGAAATTTGGGGCTCCCCAGCTGAGCCAGAACCTTGGTGGGGAGTGAGAAGCAGAGTCTTCTCCTGTCCAGGGAGCAGTTAGTCTGCAAGATGATTTATTAACGTGGAGGAGGATGATCCAGGGGGTCGCATTCCTTCCCTTGCCTTCCCTGCCTTATCTCCGGGCTGTCGCTTGGCCTTGGGGGCAGGTGAGTGATTTGAAGCAGAGACATGGCCCCAGTGGAGGCAGGATGAGGGGGGACTGGGGGCTACAGCTCACCCCAAACTCACCTTACATTTTATACACCTCCCTTGTGTTGGGCTGTGCTCAAATATTGGTGGTCCCTCTCTACCATCCATTCTCCCCAGGAAACCTCACAGGGTGGCCAAAGTCACTCCAGCCACAATTCTCTGCTGCCTTGTCCTCTTGTCCATTTGGATGGGGCAGAGTAGGACACCAGCACCTCTTGGCTGTGCCTTGTCCAGCCCTACTCAGTTCAGGAGGAGGAGGAGGAGGAGGATGCAGGTAATGGCAGGGGTCTGGGCACAGCCACCCTTGTTGCCCTCCTGGGGGGGCTATTTGGTGGCTCCCGCAGGCAGTCGTGACATTTTCAGGGTTTATTTTATAGAAGAATGTGCCGGGAGGATGTTTCTGGCTCTCCATGAGTAAATGTTTAGGAATGCTGCAGTCCGGGCTGGGGGGGAAGGAGCTGGGGGGGAAGGGGGGGTCTCCCGGTGCTGCACAGCTCCGGAGGCAGAACCTGACAGAGTGGTATCTGTGTAATTTTTGGGGCTGGGCTGGCCAGCTGGGGGCTCCTGTGCACCCTTGTGTCCTGCCTCCCCATCTCCCTGGCTGAGCTCCCACCCGTGGGCTGGGTGCCACTGTCTCTTTCCGAGCACTGTAGGCAGGGGAGGTCAGTGGCTCGGGATGTGGCAACATCCTTGGCTTGCATCTTCAGAAGGGCCTTTCAACTGCTGTGTGCGGCTTTTAGATGGGGAATGGATTAGAATCCCAAATGTCAATAGGATTTATAGTTACCTGCTGACAGTCCCTGAGTTTTTCTGCTAAGTCCAAGAGTGCTCCCACCTCTGGCTTTCTGCCTGTGCTGCTATCAGGGTTTCTTCCCTTCCCTCCCCTCCAGCACAGTGGGATCTCGCTCTGCTCAGCCTGAGGCTCCCTCTGCTGTCCATCCGTCCGTCCGTCCCTCTGCCTGTCCCTCCATCTGCACGGCTCTTACTGGGGAATCCTTGGCCTGTGCAGGAGGAATTGCTGAGCTGGGCTGCAGCAGGCTCCCTGTCCTCTCCCAAAATCCTGCAGGGACAGCAACCCCGGAGAGAAACATCGGTGTGCTTTGACCACGGATGAAAGGCTGCAGGTCTTGATGACAGGCTCTTTTCCCCTATTTTTATCTATTTTCCCCTTCTCCCCCCCCCCCCTTCTTATCTCTTCTTTTTTTAACCTATTTTTACCCCCATTTTCTCTTTTCAGTTTCCTTTCTTCTCCTCCTTTTTTTCCCTCTCTTTTTGTCTTTTTTCTTCCATCTCTTTTTTACTTTCTCTTCGCCTCCCCTTCCCCCCTCTTGCCTTGTCCTCCTCGCTTTTCCTCCTTCTCATCCCCTTCTTCTCTTTTTTCTGTTCTTCCCCCTGCCTTTCCCCCTCTTCGTTTTTCCTCTTTTGTCCTTTCTCTCCTCTTTTCTCTTTCCTTCTGTCTCCTTTCCTATTCTCATTTTCCACTTCTTTCACTTCCCCCACACACTTTCCTCCACTTCCCCACTCTTTCCTTGACTTCCCCAATCTCTTTTTTCTCTTTTTTTCTTTCCCTCTTCCTCCTTTCTCATTTTCCCCTTCTCTTCTCTCCACTCTCTTTGCCCCCACCCTCTTCCCCCAATCTCTTTTCTTCCCATCTCCACTCTTTCCCCCCACCTCTAGTTTTTTCTCTCTTTTCCCTCCCCTTCCCCCCCATTCTTCTGGCCCAGGACTGACCCTCAGTGCCATCTTAGGGCAGTCCAATCCCCCTTTCCCTGAGGAGCCATGTTGCAGCACCAGATGCCAGACAATTTTGGGAAGATGCAGTCAGCCTCTTTGGGAGGGAACTGGAACCAGGGTGAGGGTCCAGTTTTGCTTTTCAAGAAGTCCAAGGTTATGGCAAGCTGGCAGCAGCAACTCATGGAGTGTGCAAAGTGCTTTTTGGGAGCCTTTAGCCTGGAGGAGGCAAAAGCAAGGGGTTTTCCCTGCTCTGCCAGCTAGCCAGCTGCCCTGGCTTCTCCCTGGGGAATACTTCTCCAAAATATTTCACCACCTGGTGCCTCCCTAGTCCCTGCCTGGCTGCTTGGTCAGTGGCAGAGCTGGTTGCACTGGACCGAGATGCTCTAGTGCCCACCTGTGCCACAGCCCACCCTCAGGGCATCTAATCTGGAAATTCCTTTTTTGGGTATGCCCCAGCCCTGGCTCCTTCCCAGGGAAGTGTGCAGTGAAATGAAGATCATTGACTTAATGAGGGTGTCCCACGGGGCTGCTGCTCCCCTCTGCTCTCATGAGCTGCCTAATTCCAAGAGAAGGGAGAAGCAGGAATTTCTCTGTCTGGCCATCCTGTGTGCACACGCTTGGGTTACCTCAGCAGGGTGCTGCTGCCCAAATCCTGCAGCTCATGGGGGCATGTGGTGCTCCCCACTCTCCCCACAGCTCTGGGGTGGGGAGAGGCTCTGGGAACACCAAGGTTTTCCATCCCACCAGTGGGAATGGAAGCAGCAGTCGTTCCTATTCCTCTCAGATGTGCCAAGGAGTCCTGCATGGAATGGTGCCACCGCACCCTGGCCCCAGGGCAGCCAAGCTGGTCGGGGCATGCCAGAGAAGGCTGGCAGACACCTGGCTCTGGGAGGGGGCTGTAGGAAAGCTCTGCCATCTGGACAAACCCGTGTCCTGTCCAGATTGGTGGGGGCTGTTCCACAGCAGGCGCCCCTAACATCATCGGTCACGGGGAGAGCTGCTGGCAGCAGCAGCCAGCTCCCATTTTCAGGGGAAAACTCGCCCGTTTTGCTTCAAAATACTGTGGGAAATGTTGCGTAAAGCAAAATGGACATCTGAGCATTTGTCTCGGTGATTTTCCTGAATATTTTTAAAGTGGAGCATCAGCTCCAGCATGTGGAGATCTCCGCTCTGTAGGACCACAGCACTCTCTGACCTTCCTGGTCACACACAGCCAAGGGGAGCCAAAGTTGTCACCTCCCCATCAAAACCCTGTCTCAGGGACACTTTTTGAGCTATGGAGGTGACTTGCCTAGTGTCACCATGGCAGTGTAGGCCCTGGGAATGCTCCATCTCTGCTTGGCCATCCCTAGGAATGAGGGGCACCGTCACCTGAGCTGGATAAGTGGATTTGGGGGTAACTTTTTAAAGCAGAGGCAAAGAGCAATCAAAATTTCTGGGGTGTGGGAGAGTGCCAGTGCTGCCCAGTGAAGATTTTCATCCTGGGCTCCAGGAAAACTTGTGACTGGGAAACTTGTGATTGCTCAGACCTGGCTTCAAGGTGTTGCTGGCATGTGATGCTTGGGGGGCAGGAAAGCTGCAGTGCTCCCCTGGCCATCCTGTGGTGACAGCACCTGGGCAGGGGGTCCTGGCCCTGTAACTGAGCCAGGAAAGTGGCTTTACACACTTGGCTTTGGGGACTTGTTGTGTTTCTGGACAGTGGAAATATTGGAACTGTTTTCTGGGATTTGTTTCCCTCCCGGTTCAGTTTTCCTCTGAGATTATAACCTTTTCCCAGGACCTGAAGTGGGGTGTCCCACCAAAGCTGGGCATCCATGAGGACCATGTCCATGCATGACCCCACCACCTACAGTTCTGTATGCTGGTGATTTAACCAGAGCCATCAAGCAGGGGGAGAGGATTTAGGATCTTTTGGGCAGGAGGGAGTTAAACATCTAGCAGCAGCTGCCGGGACAGGCACTAGGGATCGGTAGGGTGGGTCTGAAGGCTGGCTTGGCTCCCAGAGGTTTTGGGGGGCTCTGGTGAGTCCCCAGGCGTGCAGTGGGGTCCCTGAGAGGCTGTGCCGGCAGCGGGAGGCTGGTGCTGGGGAGAGGAAGGCTTGGCAGGGGCGCTGCGGCCGCTCCTCCCCCTGCCCTGCTCTGGTTTGAAGTGCTGGAGCTTGGGAGGAGAGAGCGATGTGAGTGCTCCGAGAGCCTGGCTGGGACAGAGCTCCTGCTCTTCCCTCCCTCCCTCCCTTCCTTCAGCCTCTCCGCTCTGCTCTCGGAAGCAACGGAGCTCATTTTCCCTTTCCAATGGCCCCGTCATGCTTGGGGTTTCTGCTCTTCCTGGCTTGCTGCTTCTCCTGCTCCGAAACACAGCTCCTGGACTGGGTTTGGGATAGCACGAAGACCGCAGGAAGCCCAGCAGTACTCGGTGAGGGAATCCCGGCATCGGAGCCGCCAACCTCAGCGACAGCTCCCAGCCCGTCCTCAGGGATGTGGGGTGGGGAGGTGGCAGGAAATGTCACCACCCCATGGCAGCAGGAGCCAGATCCTGCTACAGCAGCACCTGTGGGTAAGGGGACCGCGGCCAAAACCACGGAGCAGTGGGACAGGAATGGCACAGGGCTGGTGGAGAGCACAGCATGGCCAAGCATCGCTCCTCTCCACAGCATGTCACCTGCCCCAGGACAGCTGGCAGCCAGCACTGACGACTCCCAGCTCCTGGGGTCAGGGACCACTGAGGACCTGCAGCTCCCGGGGTCAGAGACCTCTAAGGACCCCCAGGTTTTGTGGTCAGGGAACACTGAGGACCTGCAGCTCCTGGAAACAGGGACCACTGAGCACCTGCTACTCCAGAGGATGAGGACTACCAAAGACCCCCAGTTCCTGGGGTCAGTGACTCCCAAGGATCCACAGCTCTTGGAGACAGGGACTGCTGAGGACCTGAAGTTGCTGGGGTCAGGGACTACTGAGAACCCACAGCTCCTGGGGATGGGGACCACGGAGGACCCCCAGCTCCTGGGCTCAGGGACTACTGAGGACCTGCAGCTGTTGGGGTTGGGCGCCACTGAGGACCCACAGCTCCTAGGGATGATGAGTACCACAGACCTGCAGCTTCTGGTGACGGGGCGCACCAAGGACCCACAGCTCTTGGGGGCAGGGACCACTGAGGACCCACAGTTCTTGGGGGCAGGGACCACTGAGGACCCACAGCTCCCAGGCATGAGGACCACTGGGAATCTACAGCTCCTGGCAATGAGGAACACTCAGTTCCTGAGGACAGTGACCACTGAGAACCCAGAGCTTCTGGGGAACACTGAGAACCCACAGTTCCTGAGGACGATAACCACCAAGAACCCAGAGTTCCTGGGGACAGGAACTTCTACAGCAATGGAGACACAGGTGTCCTTGCAGAGACCAGCTGGTCTCCAGCCAGGTAGTGCCCCTTTTCCTTTCTCACCAGGTGACAGTACCCGTGGCAGCGGCCACCCGGGGCTGGCTCTGGCCAGCAGGAAGGAGAGCCAGAGTCTCCCTTGGCCTTACCAGAGGTTGGATAAGGGTGTGGATTCTCCTGCTGCCGATAACTCTGTCCCTCTGGAGTTCGATTTACTCACTGCTACCATGCAGCTCTCCAGGAGTGACAGTGCGGGGCTCACATCCTCCTTTCTGGGACTGATACCAGCGGCCGGCCGTTGCCAGCCCATCCCGACCCGCCTGCCCTTCTGCAGCGTGCTGGGCACCAGCCATGTCCGATTGCCAAATTACCTTCAGCATAGCGGCGAGGAGGAAATTCGGGCAGCTTTGCATGAGTGGGAGGGGCTGCTTGAGTCGCGGTGTCATCACTACCTGGAGTGGTTCCTCTGCTTGCTGCTGCTCCCCGGCTGTAGCCCCTCGGTCCCCGTAACCCCCCCGCCATGCCAGGGCTTCTGCGAGGCTGTCAGAGACCTGTGTTGGACTCACTTGGCCGGCAGGCGCCTGCCTCTGCCTTGCGATGCTCTCCCTGAGGAGGATGAAGGGGTTTCTTGTGTCTTTATTAATGCTTCTGCAGGTAACGTGGTTGGACAGCGTCCCTGTGTTGTGTCTCCCCTGCCCAGACCCCCCCCAGGGGCTGGGGGATGCTTCTGCCTTGTGCCCATGGGATGCTTGCTGAATCCAAAATCCCTTTCTATCCAGCCTTGGCTTTGTCAAACAGAGGCAGTGAGTTTTGGCTCCCTTCACAAAACCAAGCATCACTCCCGGTGAATCGCAGTGGCCAGCACAGGGGATGCTCCCCAAACGCATCGTGCTGGCATTCAGGACCAGTTTCCAGGTGCCACAGGGCTTTGGGGTGTCCATCCTGGCTGGGATCAGAGCACTTGGAGAGCTGGCAGCTCCCTGCAGGAACAGGGCAAGGACCCAGACCCTGTGGCCACCCAGCCCCAGCGCCGTGGTGGCGAGGAGGTCTCAAGGTGACCCTCAGCCATGCCCGCACACTCCCCTTCTCCAGAGCAGCCCTTTGGGGTTAATGATTCACCCGATGGCGGCTAATGTTTGATCCCCACTGCTTGGAAAAGGGGAGAGGTTACTTCATCCCCAGCTTCATCATTCGGTGGCTGTGACCTTCTGGGACCCAGACAGGGCAGG